TCAATAATGGTAGCAAAATTTGTTGAATTCCAAAAGATATTTCATTTTAAAAATTGCGTAATTCAGATGTGTTCGACTCTTGTACATTTTAAGTCTGTGTGCTCCAATTGTCAACTACATAACTTCACAAGAGTCATTGAACTGTAAAAAAGATTGATGATACCTACAAGAAAAGCTTGATGGGACATATCCGGTTTTATACAATCCACCACAGGGTTATTGTAATATTCATAATACTGTCTCAATAATGTATACAATTTGTCAGTCAGTCAATAAGTCCTTAGAAATGATGTTCATAATTAATTAGTCAGTTTGAGAATTGTTATCTACTCTTTGTCAAGTATTAACACAATCAAATCAATATATATATATATTTGTTCTCCCCGTATGCCACTTAATAGATACTTTCTTGCAGTGTCTTGGAAACCATGAGTTCGATGACAGACCTGTCGGATTGGCACCGTTCCTGGAAGAAAAAAATTTTCCTGTTGTAACAACTAATATCGACGTATCGATGGAACCAGAGCTGAAGAATATTAAAAAGTCGCATGTAGTCGAACTAGATGGTCACAAGATTGGCGTTGTGGGTTATTTAACACCACAAACCATGCAGATATCATCTCCAGGTAATGTAATGTTTGAGGACGAGGTGAGCAGTTTACGAAGAGAGACGGAGATTTTGGCCAGTGAAGGGGTCAATATAATCATCGCCTTGGGCCATTCAGGTTACGAAATCGACAAAAAAGTTGCCGCTGAGGTGCCTCTCGTAGACGTGGTCGTTGGAGGTCACACCGACACATTTCAATGGAACGGTCCCCAAGTAGACATCGAAGTACCTGTAGACGAGTATCCCACCGTGATCGTCCAGGAAAGCGGGAAACGCGTTCCTGTGGTACAAGCATTCGGATACACTAAATATATAGGGAGATTGAACGTCTCCTTCGATGAAGACGGAAACTTGGTCGACTTTGCAGGACAACCACTGCTACTAGACAGTACCATTCCTCGGGAAGAGGATGTGCTTCGGCTCCTGGATGTCTACAGACCTGATCTGGAGGAACTCCAGCAAAGGGTGGTCGGCAAAACTAAAGTTCTCTTAGATGGATCTGCAGACTCTTGCAGGGTGAGGGAATGCAACTTGGGGAACCTCATCACGGACGCTTTCGTCGCATACTTCGCAGACATGTACCAAGGAAGTTATTGGACGAACTCGCCAATAGCAGTAATGAATGGGGGAGGAGTGAGGAACAGTATTGAACCGAATCATGTCAACGATGGTAACGTGACAATGGGAGAACTTCTAGGAGTGGCACCCTTCGATAACCAAGTGATTTCTTTAACCCTGAAAGGATCGGATTTGATCAAAACTCTGGAGATAGGAGTACGCGCAAGAGATGGCTCCACCTCAGGAGGGGAATTCTTGCAAGTTTCCGGGTTGCACGTCGTGTACGATCTTTCACAACCTTCGGGATCCAGGGTAATTAACGTGAAAGCCTTATGCGGAAGCTGCAAGGTTCCGACGTACGAAACGGTTCAGGACGACAAGGAATACAGGGTGGTGACGCAAAGCTTCCTGACTGACGGTGGTGATGGACATTACATTCTAAAAGACAATTCGTACAATAGGACTATAGCCGAGTTGAATGACGTGAATGTGATCGCGTGGTACATGACAAAAAACAATTTCGTGTATCAGGCAGTCGAAGAACGGATAAGGTTTAAGGGTGGACGATCTAGCGGTCGATCTTATCTAACAAGTGCCAGCTCGTTATTCGTTTGTTGCATTTTTATGGTCGGTAAAGTGATGGTAGCGTGAAATAGTTAGTCCAAAAATATGTCGGCTGTGCACGTGTTACGATAGTGAGTGACGTGTCACATTATAAACAATTGAATTTCAGGATTGAAAAGTATTAAAACGACTTATCTGTTAAGAATATCACGAAGCGTCCATCATTTGTTATTTTTAGTATTTTTTATTTATTCATTGGTTAATAATGACTTGGTAGAATGTACAAAAGGTTCCAGGAAATAGCAGAAGCAACAGGNATCTGTTTATGCTGGAGCATTGAAAGTCCATTTTAAAGAACTTTGTTTCGTTAAAAACAAATACTTTAAAAGATTGATTTTATTTGTTTCATAATATGTTATCTGGTCGCGTGTTCGACTTATACCAGATAACTACTCACTCAAATCGTGCAGTTCTCTAAACATTCATATCACCAAAGAAGAGATGTTATTTCCAAAACTATTAAAAAAAACCAAACCGTTAAAACTTATCAATCAAAGTTTAGAATAAATTTCTTTTGGTATCCTTTTGAATCAACAGCCTTTTCTAAAGCTTCCTTATAGCCTTTAAAATGTATAAAATTGTGACTTGGCACTTTCAGTTCCTTTTTAAGCATCATATTGATCAAATCATTATACATTTGGAGCCACTTTTTACTCTTGAACATTTGTTTATTCCATGAAGTAACCCAAAAGCCTTTAACATGAACGTCTTTGAAGATTAGTGCTGATGTTGGTGCAATTACCGGCTTTCGCGACATTCCTCCATAAGTCACCATGGTGCAACCCTCTTGAAGGGTTTTCAATATTTCTAACGCATTTTGACCACCGACGCAATTCAAAGCAAGTTTTGGTTTGGGAAGACTTTTTTTGAATATATCCGTTTTTTTGACTTCTTCTTCAGTAAGGACAGTATGCGCACCTAGATTCTTTAATGTGCACTTCAGATCTACAATTTCCGGTCTGTCTCTGACTACGTTCACCGTTTTCAGTCCCATTCTTTTTGCTATTTGTATAACGTTCTGACCAACGGCAGAATTTGCACCGTTTTGGATGATTACATCCCCTGGTTTAAGGTTTGCAAAGTCCTTCAACATTCTGTACGCTGTGCAAGGATTTATTATGAGAGTGGCGGCTTGAACGATACCTAAATCTTTGGGAACTTTTAGTAACAAGTGACCTGGAAACTTTGCATAAGTTCTCCAAGTTCCTAACGTTTCCTTCAACGGTACAACGTGATCGTTTGGTTTTAGTTCTTTTATATTATCTCCCACATTCACTACTTTACCTACCCCTTCGAAACCTGGAACTGCTGGTAATTTTAGCTCTGATGGGTACACCCCTTCGATAGTATTAATGTCTGCCGGGTTTATCGGCGCTGCTAGCATTTTGACCAATACCTCATCCGGCCTTAATGGGGTTATGGGCTCATCGACAAGTTTCACAACACTTGCTGGAGGTCCGTGATTTTGAAAAACCAATTTAGATGTAATCTGACTGCCCATACTGCGCTTGTTTGACTTTAATGTAATATTAAAGATTTCTATGAATTGACTTTTTATTCTCAGAATCATAACTGAATATTACTTTATCTCTTGCAGTGATACCTGCTAAATTGATAAAATTAATAAATAAAATAGTTGACGTTTACCAACGCGATCAAATTTTGTCAACACATTGTTTTAAATACCAATGCAAATTTGAAATATGTTACAACAGACGATGAAAATGATTTGTTTCTGTGAAATATAACTATGTCACCAATGTTATCAATTTGTAGAGGAAATCAAAACTACGTTGTCGATTTATCACATTGCAAAGAAGCTTGACGTGATAAGAAATTATGCAATTGTTTAGAAACTGTTCAACTTGACTGTGAGAAAACATTTTATTTATGGTTTTGTTTACAATTAATATAAGGACTTTTGTTTACGTACATTTCGTAATGAAGATGTAAATACATTAAGTATTAGTTAGTTGGAATTTCAATTAATTACCAAATTACTTTGACGTTAGCTTATTTAGCAACGTTTTGCTTTAAGTAATAAATTGAATTTGAGGACATATTTTAAGTTATTTGGCAAACAACTTGCTTTCAAAATGCGTAGTTAGGTGGACACAAGAGAATTATAAAAAAACTAAAAAGTATTAGGTAATTAGTAATTCATTTGCTAAGGATGATAATACCAATTTTATCTCACATCAGATAGGTCCTTAATAAGTGGTATTCCCTCTTCATCTTCCCACTCTTTCTTCAAATCATAAGAAATCTGGTTCACGGTCAGTTTCAAGAGTTTGCTTTATTATGGGTGCATGTTGGCAAAAAAAGTAACAATTTGGATCATAAATGGAAACCAATAAACAGGAGTAGTCCAAGTGGTCCTCAAAATCAAAAAAAGTAGCATTGAAATTAGGTGAAAGTGATGTAATGAATATTCGGTTTCGGTAGCGTGTCAGAAGGCTGGGTGAGATAATGGGGATAGATGTCACTTAAATCCATTTGGATTAGATTTATTATTATTTTATCGCCAATCAAATTTTTGGAGCGAAATTTATGTTGAGTACATGGCCCGAATTTTCATCTACATATGTTAAAAACCCCTTTCTTTATATAAATCTTTGGTTTTAAAGACATACTTGACAAGATATCAAAATAAAGAAAATCATGACGAACTTTTCGATATTAAATTCACTTTCCTGTTTTAAACCATAACTCAATTCATTAACCGTATTGATTAACTTACGATTAAATTATACGATTTTGAACTAGTAATTGGAATATACTGTGCCTAAAGTTGTTCAGGGGCGTATTTGAAGGAATTTCTAACGGAAATTCTTGATATCAGGAAATAGGCGGTTACCGCTAATGAGTAATTGATATTTTTATGGCAAACTATCATGGACAGGGTCGGAACAAATATATTAATAGCAATTTTCAGGTATCTCAGATTCTGTTTCAAAAAGTTCAACTTTGAATTTAGACGTTGAGGATTGTGTTCTTTTGAAACGTGTGCTGTTAATATAAAATATTGGCAGATCGGTGTCTAAAGGCATTCGCACGTGATTGGTCATGGGTCTAGATCCATTTAACTGACCATCACCATTCTACCTGTTGTTCTCCTTAAGTGAATACATGTATGCGTTGCTTCAGAAAAACTTGATGGATTGCCACGATCCACGGTGGTGGCTACATTTAAAAGTCAGACGAACGACTCTTCAAGTTCATTGGTGCTGTAGGTCGCTTCGTTTATAATTGGAGTGGCTAATGCCAATCGTTAATAGCCTGAATAATTTGAAACGTGCTTTAGCCGGAGATAACAACGTCAGAATTGCTTTGTAATTGTTGTTACTATTATTATTATTTCTGTCGGCGGCATTTAAAAATATAGCCAAGTGTGTTGTGCACATTTTAACTGCCGATTGTGCAACACATACATATATTCCGCTGTACTCACTTGTTATTACTGTATTCACTCGGGGCGTTCGTGGATTGTTACCGGCAAAAGTTTCATCGCGTCAGCCGTGAGCGACCACGTGCAAATTTTTCGCGATTGGAAAAACTTCACAACTTCAATGATGAATCTCCGACGATGTTCATTTTTTCTAACAATTGTGGCAATTGTTGTTACCGAAACTTGGGCCGTTGCTGGAAGGTTTGACTTTCTTATTCTTCATACCAATGACATGCACGCGAGGTTTGAGGAGACCTCGAGGATCGGCGCGACGTGTAGTGAACCTGGCAAGGACGAAACGTGTGTTGGGGGATTTGCAAGGGTTGCCCATGTGGTGAGACAAGCCAGAAAAAAAGCCGCAGAAGGTACAGGACCTAAGGTGCTCTTTTTGAACGCCGGGGATTCCTATACGGGAACGGCGTGGTTTACGCTCTACAGATGGAACATTACCACCGAATTTATGAATTTACTGCAACCAGACGTGATGGTAAGTTTTTTTTTAATGATTAATTTAACATTTGAACCATTTTTGATCAAAGAATTTTAATTGGGTTGGATTTCATTTCAAAAACTGATGACTAGACTGAAGAAGTATGAAAATGCAATTTTTGATTTCATTAGTTTGCGGTTTTGCATTTTGTGATAATAATTAAAGTGTTTAATTAAGGAAGTTTATAAAGTAGTTGCGCCAGATTAACTAGTTGTCGTAAATGCTTATCATATGTCGTTTTGTGTGTTCTTGCACCTTCAGATTAAAAAGTAACAGTTTCAGAAACAATTATCTGCAAGGTTTTAACACATTCTGTGATTAAGAAGCTATCTCTTAACTCCATTGTGAGGTATTATAAATAATAATTGTTCACTGACAACATATTTACAGTAGTCTAACTGCTGTTTATAATAAAATGATAATGAAATTTAAACAAAGGTGGTAAATATATGGCGTTAACAATAGATAACAGATTTACGCTAAAATGTAATCTTTCGAATGGTAGAAACGTGAAATAATAGAGATGAAAAAGCGGGTGAAACTAGGTTATAATTGGTTCAAGTTGCTCTGATTTGAATAAATAATAAAGACATAATGGTATACATTGCGACACTAACTTTGATTTTGAATCTAATTGAACGAATACTTCAGTCTGAAGTACCACTTCAGACAAAGAGTAGATGCATTTAAAAAATTCAGTAAATGCCAAAAAATGGCCCTTTTTTATATTGAATCAGTTAACTCTACTTTTGGAAGTTTTCAGATAGATAATTGCTGTAATAATCAATTGTTTAGAAAGTCTATTTATATAAGACATAAAAATAAGAAAACAGAGAATGTTAGTTTTGAACGTATTTTTGATAAACCGCGGGAAAACCATCGGAGACCTTTGTGGTTTTTATGGTTTCGTTTTTATACAAATACGTATTTTAATTTATTACAAATAACGGTAATGACCGAAAAAATGAAAGCAAATGGTTAAGTTATTTTCGTGAATTTATGAAAGTTTTCTTTCAAAATTCCTAATTAAAATTCCACATGTAATTAGTAATTCTCATAAAACACCTAGTAAGAAGGGTCATTGTATTTGCTTACAATTCCCAATGGAATTTCGCCAAAGTGTTTAACTAATTTTACTGTTCTTAGAAAAGTAGTAAAATAAATTTAACGATTTGACTTCAGACAATTTTCTACTGTCGTTTCATTAGCTCCTGCATCAATGGAAAGATTATGAATGGAAACTTTATACAATACAAATAAATTAACCATTTTACAATGCATTTGAATACCTAACGATTTTTCAATTAAATAATTTACAATTGTTAATTGAGAGATGTGGATAGATTAGAGTTGCTGCTGTTTTGTTGGTGAACCAAATCCAGTATTTTTTGTTTAACTATATACAGAATACCTAATCAGAAAAAAAAATAATGAAATACATCCTATTGTGTTTGAAAGTTGTTAGACGACAACAAGTGTACTAACAACAAACATAATCAACTAGAATTGTTGGATATTGTAACGGTTGACCTTACTTCGATACAAGTTTATTATCACCAAAACGTATGCTTTCGCTCAATAATTGTCTATTTGATCATTTTTTTTTAAGTTGTTATTAACGATTTGACCAAGGTTCAATAATTAGTATAACTGCTGTGGTTACAATAAAATTTCATAGGTGCATTCGTTTGCTAAATTTCAGTTTGTAATCCAAATAAAGTTTGTAGCACATATTTGAGTTAGAACCATCTAGCGGTTAACGTATAAAGTTAAGTGGCTCGATATTACGACAGTGCTAGAATGTGAAAGAAATCTGTAACCTTGCCTGACCTTTTTAACTCTCTCTCTCTCTCTAAGTCATTTAGGGGTGAAAGATTAGTATACTTAGAGTTGCAGAGAATATAGCACTATTGTCATCTAGCAAAGAGAAGTTAGAGATAGCTTTAAATGAAATGGAAGCGGTATTGATAAAACAGTATTGTATAAGAGTAAATAAAAGTAAAACAAGAATACTGGTATACAAGGGAAGAAAAAGTAGGGAAAGAGCGATTTTAGGTATCTAGGAATTTGGATAAATCAGGACGGAAGGAATAGAATGAAGAGGTATTAGAAGGAATAGGAGAACAGAGGATTCTTTGGAAGTCAATAAGAAATAGGCGAGATAGGTTAGTAGGATACCTTCTCAGGCTTGAAGGTTTGGTCAGAGACGTATTAGAGACAGAAACGGGAGTTATGAGGGGTAGAGGTAGACTTAGATTAGATTACTATTCGCAAATAATTAGGGATGTGGGTTGTTCTAGTTTTACGCAAATCTGAAGATTAATTCAGGACAGGAAAATGTGGAGATGCGTGTCTAATCAGTCTTAAGACTGACTTTCGTTATGTTATAACGTCAATGATTTCAAAGTGTTAAATCAAAAACGGTTTTGATTTATCATTAAAACTGGAGATTTTTAACGCAAGTCAGTAAGTCTTTTGATCAAGACATAAAAATCGCTTATAAATAGTCGTTTTAATAACTAAATAACTAAAAATTTGTAATTACTATTGTGTTTAGTGTCGTTAACGGTGCACTCAAATATGTTAATTGTAATACAGTTTAGCCACAGAAAATTGCTTGTTAGTTTTAATTACAATTGGGCATAGAAAATCATACTGCAGTATATATTTAATAAATAATTCATTGTGTAGTAATGCTTTCCCTTGAGCTAGCAGCGAATATAAACATTTTTATAGCTGCTGTAGACGAATCAATTCATTTTTGCATGAATAATTGAATCGGTGTATTCAATTTGTTTATTTCAATAAAATCTGCTTTAATAAGATTAGAGCTACATATATATCTGTTACGTTTTAGTCTTTAAATCTTTTGTTCAACAATCTCTACAAAACATTTGCACGTTATCAGTATCAATTAATAGCGCCATTGTCTTATTGTAGATGGAATGAGCAAATTGATAGTCGATAAAAATAGTAAAAGTAAATAGCAAAGTTGTATTAAATGTCATTATTTTCGTTTTTGTAATCTATTATAATTGTATCTACTTAAAATTAATTTTCACGATCTAATTACTTACATACATCTACAAAGTTTTTATTGGCACTTGACATCATTTACTGTTTTAAGCAGATATTATCAATGATATTGGCTAATATTTATTTATTAGTTGGAATTTAGGGCTTTGTCAAGGAAGACAAGTTAGTGCAAAGTAAAGTAGCTATTGAATTAAACTGCAAATTCCTCTTGCTCTTGTTGAAAGTAATTTTCTTGACATTTGCAATCGTGTTTTGCAACATTTGATTCACGCGTTTGTNCTGTTGACAAACAATTTCAATAATGGTAGCAAAATTTGTTGAATTCCAAAAGATATTTCATTTTAAAAATTGCGTAATTCAGATGTGTTCGACTCTTGTACATTTTAAGTCTGTGTGCTCCAATTGTCAACTACATAACTTCACAAGAGTCATTGAACTGTAAAAAAGATTGATGATACCTACAAGAAAAGCTTGATGGGACATATCCGGTTTTATACAATCCACCACAGGGTTATTGTAATATTCATAATACTGTCTCAATAATGTATACAATTTGTCAGTCAGTCAATAAGTCCTTAGAAATGATGTTCATAATTAATTAGTCAGTTTGAGAATTGTTATCTACTCTTTGTCAAGTATTAACACAATCAAATCAATATATATATATATTTGTTCTCCCCGTATGCCACTTAATAGATACTTTCTTGCAGTGTCTTGGAAACCATGAGTTCGATGACAGACCTGTCGGATTGGCACCGTTCCTGGAAGAAAAAAATTTTCCTGTTGTAACAACTAATATCGACGTATCGATGGAACCAGAGCTGAAGAATATTAAAAAGTCGCATGTAGTCGAACTAGATGGTCACAAGATTGGCGTTGTGGGTTATTTAACACCACAAACCATGCAGATATCATCTCCAGGTAATGTAATGTTTGAGGACGAGGTGAGCAGTTTACGAAGAGAGACGGAGATTTTGGCCAGTGAAGGGGTCAATATAATCATCGCCTTGGGCCATTCAGGTTACGAAATCGACAAAAAAGTTGCCGCTGAGGTGCCTCTCGTAGACGTGGTCGTTGGAGGTCACACCGACACATTTCAATGGAACGGTCCCCAAGTAGACATCGAAGTACCTGTAGACGAGTATCCCACCGTGATCGTCCAGGAAAGCGGGAAACGCGTTCCTGTGGTACAAGCATTCGGATACACTAAATATATAGGGAGATTGAACGTCTCCTTCGATGAAGACGGAAACTTGGTCGACTTTGCAGGACAACCACTGCTACTAGACAGTACCATTCCTCGGGAAGAGGATGTGCTTCGGCTCCTGGATGTCTACAGACCTGATCTGGAGGAACTCCAGCAAAGGGTGGTCGGCAAAACTAAAGTTCTCTTAGATGGATCTGCAGACTCTTGCAGGGTGAGGGAATGCAACTTGGGGAACCTCATCACGGACGCTTTCGTCGCATACTTCGCAGACATGTACCAAGGAAGTTATTGGACGAACTCGCCAATAGCAGTAATGAATGGGGGAGGAGTGAGGAACAGTATTGAACCGAATCATGTCAACGATGGTAACGTGACAATGGGAGAACTTCTAGGAGTGGCACCCTTCGATAACCAAGTGATTTCTTTAACCCTGAAAGGATCGGATTTGATCAAAACTCTGGAGATAGGAGTACGCGCAAGAGATGGCTCCACCTCAGGAGGGGAATTCTTGCAAGTTTCCGGGTTGCACGTCGTGTACGATCTTTCACAACCTTCGGGATCCAGGGTAATTAACGTGAAAGCCTTATGCGGAAGCTGCAAGGTTCCGACGTACGAAACGGTTCAGGACGACAAGGAATACAGGGTGGTGACGCAAAGCTTCCTGACTGACGGTGGTGATGGACATTACATTCTAAAAGACAATTCGTACAATAGGACTATAGCCGAGTTGAATGACGTGAATGTGATCGCGTGGTACATGACAAAAAACAATTTCGTGTATCAGGCAGTCGAAGAACGGATAAGGTTTAAGGGTGGACGATCTAGCGGTCGATCTTATCTAACAAGTGCCAGCTCGTTATTCGTTTGTTGCATTTTTATGGTCGGTAAAGTGATGGTAGCGTGAAATAGTTAGTCCAAAAATATGTCGGCTGTGCACGTGTTACGATAGTGAGTGACGTGTCACATTATAAACAATTGAATTTCAGGATTGAAAAGTATTAAAACGACTTATCTGTTAAGAATATCACGAAGCGTCCATCATTTGTTATTTTTAGTATTTTTTATTTATTCATTGGTTAATAATGACTTGGTAGAATGTACAAAAGGTTCCAGGAAATAGCAGAAGCAACAGGATACGCCAATTTCCTGACACTATCTTTTGGACACCGTTTATATTTAAGTGTACGAATGCGTCCATGTTTGTTATACGTAATCATATTGTTCCTGGCATCGATCTACTGATACGTTATTATAAGAAAATAAAATTCATTCCAATAAATAATAAAATACGCATCATGTGTTACTATTTATTTTAATAAACATTTTAAAAAATGAGTAATAGCTCCATGGAGAATGCAAGTATGGACTTGTACCTATTTCTATATTAAGAGGTGTATTCCACTGTATCTTGTTTTATGGTTGGAATTTGTAGGTCATTTCTGATTATTTCTTTGAGTATAAACCAGGGAGCATTTACTAGGATCCTGAGGGCTTTTGATTGAGATCGCTCTATTGTACCTATATCGGCAGCGGAACCCTATAGTTGGACACTGTAGGTCTAGATTGGATTGATAATACATCTGTAAATTAGAAATTTATTCTTACCCAAGAGCCAATACAGCTTCTTAGTTATCAGGGTGAGCTGTTTCCGTTTGTTCCATATACGAGGCGTTTATCAAGGTGAATTCCCAAGTAGGTACTTTATTTCCTCCCTATGAGGGATGGGATTCATTGTTTAGGTACAGTGTTGATCTTGTGTGTTTACAAAAGGCGAATGTGATATGAGTGGATTTTTCTGTGTTGATGTTGATTCGACTGTGTTTTACCAGTTTACTGAGTTGTTGCTGTTATTTGCGAATAATCCACAGATGACAGCACTTGTCGTTGGTAAATCAGTTGTGTATAGTAAGTATAGTCTCCTTGAGGGATTCCTGCATTTATTGATTGTAGTGGGCTGATGTTACTACTTGTTCTTACTTGGAAGGTTCTATCGGTCAGGTACCACTTTAGGAATTTATAGTGCCCAGTAGGGAGATGCGACCTTAACTAAAATAAGAGGCTTTTATGCCATACCATGACCTAGAAGTGTAGACCATTGCTTAGCATTCGGGAGGACGCCGGATCAATTCTGAGTCAATCTGCCTTGGTCCAAGTTTTTCTCTGGTTTCCTTGGATCACTTTGGCAAATGCTGGGGCAGTAATATTCCACAGATAATCTTTCATTCTCTTCAGTTTTCATTTTGTCCGTTTCATCATCCTCACCTGAACCACCACCTACCCATTTCCACGATTCCTGAAAGGAGAATGAAGAGGGCCTTCCGTTCTACCCTTCGGCGTAGTCCAGAGGGGCTGCCCGCTCACCAACATTAGTGGCTGATGGGAATGAAACACCCAAAAATCTTTAAAGTTTGTTGCCACACTTGTCGAAGGCCTAAGCTACGCCTTACTTGTATAGAAATTGTATTGTGCAAGGTATATACCTACATTTAACAATTAATTGCTGTGTACAGCAAATTTATATTAAACTAATGCTTATGCAGTCATTATTATCACTAAAACGTTCCAAGTTTTATATTACAAAGCATCTTTAGTTTATCCACAATAACTACATGAATAACTTATTATCTCGATTGCAAAAAAGACCCTGCAGGATTTAAGAATCTCATGAACCTTTACATGCGTAGATCTTATTGCATTATTAAGTGATAGAAATTAAAAATTTTTTCAAGTCTGTAAGTTCTAAGGGTTACTATCAAGTCTGTAACATTAAACAGGAGTTAATGTTATTGGCATCGACAGAAGTGTTTGATATGATATCCTGTAAATTAAATGCCATGCATCCATTTTTATGCATCTATATAGATAGCATATGTATATGAATGAAATAACGATAAGTAACAAATACAAATAAATATCGTATAACACTGGACCCTGCTCTTCTCTAGTAAAACACCAATTAAACAAATAAATTACAATCCTCTTTAATCGTAACTAACTACAATCAAGCTTAATGAAATAATTTCTAGTTCAGAATGCTCGTTCTCGTTTCTCCTACGTTTTTCTATTCACATCATGAGTAAGCTAACTTATTATCATTGTAATGACTTGTATCACTGCCAGATGTTTCCTTTCTTGATTAATTCATTCGCTGGGGTAACTATTGTGTTATACAATATTTTAGAACGACATTGTTTTCTAACACCCCCCAGGGGTCGGTGGTGTGTTGAACTAGAGGGTTATCTATCCGTTCATGACCAGTCTTGAAATGGCAACAAAAACAGTCGGATAGTTTTATGTTCGTGCATTATTATTATTATTGTTATCTATAGTAAAGTCCCCCAAAGAAAATGTCAGCAATTCAAAGAGATTCGGAAAATAATGTGCAACCCACAACGGCCTCTGAGGAATTTGCAAAATTGACTGAAAATCTTAAAGGAAGCAATCTGACAGAAGAAGAAATGAAAATGTTGCAATGCCAAGTATTTCGAGGAGTAGATTTGTATTATTTTAAGGCCGAAAGTGTAAATACACGTCTACAAACTACTTAACTTTTCGGTTCGAGCAAAAGTGGTAATTGCATCTCTCGTGCGTGTAGTTTTTGGATTAGTTTAATCAACAGTGATAATTGTAAACATTCAGATAAAGCCAAACACAAACAGTGCAATGATAATGAATGGAGAAACTGATAAATAGAACATGAGTTATTACTTTTTGATTTTTTCAAATGAAATTTAGAGTTGATTTGATATTATCACAATTACACAAAAAATATGCATTTACGTTTGCGTAAATAGCTATTTGGAAAATCCCTGAAATTGATAAAATAATTTTGTTAAGAAATATGACATGACATAAACGTTGTAAATCTTTATTTATGCATAAAACATAGATACAAAAAACTTTGACTAGAAAATAAATGGTACGTCAATGACTAGAATATTTTTAGTTTTTAAGTACATTTCAATATCTTACAATGGCGATTATACTTAAACACTTAAATAAATAAAATAATAATAAAATCACTAGGTATCTATTAAAATTTTAAAAAACTATCTACCTGTATGTAAAAAAGAACCTACTTTCAAGTTAATTTTTTCAAAAAAATAGACCCTCGATAACGAAAGCGATCTATCAATCAATTTTTTCCATTTGTAGATCCCTACTTAATATTCAAAATTAAAGCTAATATATAAAAACCTAGCAGACTAAAATTAGTACAGACATTTTAGAGTTTGTTAATCCTTTTTATCCTGTCCCATCAATAATTTTTCGGTCAATGTTTTCACGGTGGGATGGTCAGGGGGTAAACCTTCAGCAACCAGAAACCTCAGGGTCTCCATAGCACACGCTGCATATCCAGCGGCTTCGGGGTCGTTTTCTTCGTCATCACATCTTTGCAAATCTTCTTGTAACTCACAAACTTTTTGAAGACACAACTTGAGTAACTCTGTCACTTGATCATTTCTCGTTACGTGGTTGCGTACCTAAAAACAAAAATGGAACCACATATTTGCAATTGGTTAATTTTTTGCACGAAAAAGAATTTCGAAAATGGTTTATTAACGATTTCTATAATCGCAGTTTGTTGTTAGTTTCTTCTTGGTAGGAGGATGGTGATGGTAGGTAATAAAGCGAGGTAAAATACCATTGTGGTATGAACGACAAGTGTCTAATTAATCTAGATTAGTTCGATTACTCTAGACTCGGATTAGATTTATTATTAGGTGCCCAAAAAGTTAAAACAGTAAATATTCTTTTGATTGTGAAATTACATTACACTACATCAACTTTCGGTGAGTTTATGAAAGTAAAAAGGGAACTTTTTGTTTATTTTCAATTGCTTATACTTTGTAAAAAAGTTTTCACATTTTAAAGTGTAAAATTCTTACCCTTCCATTGGGATTTCTTCTGTTTCTCGCGATTTTTCTGGCACTTTTTGAATTTTGTTTCATTGTAAATTAGAAACTTCACTTAACTTCATATCATTTGAGTAGTCAACTACTTTTCAAAACAAATAAATCAACTTTGATAATGTCCTTTTGAACACTGATGAAAAAACGAATACTGGATATTTGTGATAAGATAAGTACTCAATCAGAATTATCATCCACGTGCCGTTCCACCTTCTAGCAATTGCTGAACCGATTTTGTTGCTGTGTTACCGTCATATGTGCGGGTCTTGGAATAGGCTGACTATTTTGGGGGTATGTTCTGGTAACATTTTCCGAAAGCGGATTCAAAATGTCCCCTTTGGATTCAAGCACGGAATGAGGGAAGTTTAAGTGCCGCTTTGCCGAATAATGAACAGAAGCGGCAGCTGTTCCAGAACAGATGTCTTTTGGGAACGCATATGGTATTGGTGTACAGCGTAGGGACTTAAACGCATATATGTATACGTATAAATTTATTTATGTATGTATGTATGCCATAAGATTTGGAATCAAAATTTTATGCCGTCTGTAGAAGGTGTAAAACCATCAAAGTCGTGAAATAGAAATGAATCGCTTAATTAACTGGAAAATAAGTTTATCAAGTACCTTTTAAAGGAAAACTTTTATCAGTAACAATGATTAAAAGCCATTGACGAAAATTAAAAACAATACGTGATGTGTATGTTATTTTTGCGATAAAACTTGGATATCTCTTTCCCTGATCTCTACAAATTGGAAGTCATGGAAGGAAATGAGAAAGATTGATATTTGAATTAAAAAAAACTGAATCTGAAAATGTTTATATAATTTTCGATCTAAATAATTAAGAATTTATCACAACATCTCTTTCAACGATAAATGACTTTTTGGTTTATTTGTGACTATAATTTGTCTTAAATAACGTATTTTCGGCATTGGGTAGTCAGCTTTAAGACTGGTGTGACATGCACCATTCACATCCTGAGGTAACTCCTGTTTCTGCTTCTATGTCTCTAACTAGTCCTTCACGACTAAGAACATATCTCGTCTATTTCTTGTTGAAAACAGAGAGATTTCCTATTCAATCCAATTCATTCCCATTAAAACAGGACAAAATACATATAAGAAATATAATAATGCATCATAGAGTAAAAGAAATCGCAGTATTATTTTGTATGTACTTACTAGAAATTAATTTTGGTCGTTGTCAGTCCTAAGACTGGTTTAACACGCACCTCCATGTAATATGTCTAACAAGTCCTTTATGTCTAAGAAGGTGTCCTACAGACTTATTTCTTGATAACGCCCTCCTTTCTCCTACTCAATCCAATTCAGAGGACTCTCTGGAAGTCAATATAAAACAGGCGAGATAAGTTGGTAGAACACCTCCTCAGGTATGAATGTGTAGTCAGAGACATCATCATCATAAGGTCGTCAGTCCTAAGACTGGTTAGACACGCACCTCCACTCGTTCCTATCCTGAGTTAATCTTCGCAGAAACATATTAGAAGCAGAAACAGGAGTCGAGGTAGACCTAGATTAGACTACTGTAAGCAAATAGTCGAGGAGGTGGGATGTTCTAGTTTTGGGGAAATGCAAAGATTAGCTGAGGATAGGAAAAAGTTGTGTGTGTCCAACCAGTGTTAGGACTTACGATCTTATGATGATGATGAAAACAGAAGGAAATACATATAAGAAGTTTATTATTTTGTACGTACTGGAAATTTAAACAAAACTGAAAACAAGAGTCATGTATCTATGCGTCTACTAACAAATTAATTTTGCGTTATCGTCTTGCTCCCCAATAGACTAAACTTTACCTCTGGCACATGGTAAACGTGCCCATAGGGAAATCCCACCCTTACTATGACTCGTGCCAACTGCTTGAGTGCCGGGTGCGTCTTGCACCCCCTTTTTCAATACAATCAGGGTCGCACAGGTACACGCGTCTATTTATGATAAACTAGAGGGGTCCTTCCTCCTACATGCACATGAAATAATAGAGTAGGCAACGGTCGATTACCCCAACCCCCACCTCATCATACTTTGTAGCTTACATTTTTGTTAGGAGGGATTGTAGTAATTACCAAACGCGTGGGAACGAATTTTTGAAATCAGTACCTACAGATTTTCGTATTTTATATTTTATTTGTTTTTAACCATACTTAGTTACTTTTTTCTTGTTAGGTATAAGTCAAATAAAATTGATTATTCACTTTTTCGTGTCCTAGGAGATTTTTAATGTTTCCTTTTTTTTAATTTCGAAAACAATAGAATATAACAATTTACTACTACTACTTATTGAAATACTTGTTACTAACTAATTTTATAACCCTATTTCCTATTTTTCTGTTCAATTATTAGTTCATCGCGTAACTGTTAATTGTTGTTAATTCGGAATGGCCTATTGTAATGTTTCCATAAATATTTGGTACACATCATTGTTTACTCGACACATTAATTTTCCGTGAAAATATTGCACTTTGTACTTACAGAGATATTTGAGAAATGCACAATTAAGTTGAAAACTTGCGCGATTATTATTTGTTAACACGTTTTCTGAATTTCATTATGTTCTACGTAGTTATTTATTAAATAATTATTGAGATAAGCGATTAAATTAATAATTATATTAGTATTCAATATAAATGAAAACATTTTAATCATTTTATGGAGTTTAAATAATGCGGTTTTTATTAGAGCTAGTTTTTATTGAGTAGAGGTGCCATCTGTACAACATACATAGTGAACTATAGGTAGCATTGTGTAAAGCTCTGGCTTGTAAGGTGTCCACAATTGATATCTTTAAAGTTTGAAACAGAAGAGGTCACTACAAGTACCACTTAAGTACATTTAATAAACCAGTTGTCTCATTATCTTGTTACAAAGTTCTAGATTATCTTAATTCTTTCTGATTTCAAGGTTCAAAATTCCCATATTTAGTTCGGAAAATCCACTAATTTTGCTTGTATCTTCTTCTATCAGAATATGTAGTCATTGTTTGGTTGTTGGATTTTTAAACTTTTCCTGGAGATCTATTATTTTCTAGAAGTAACAAACCTGATTCCATGATCAATTAATGACATGAAGGAGGAAATAAAAACAGTTTGAATCATGCAAATTTCAGATGAAGTCTGACTTTTGGGGACTTTCAGAGATGTTTTGAACAATGAAAATGCAGAAAGGAAGGGAACCTTCCTCCCTCCCGGTTTTGCACCACAATGTAGGATTGAGAGGCTGGTCGCCCATCAGTATTAGTCTCTAGTTAGAACGAATCATGCAAATTTCAGATGAAGTCTGACTTTTGGGGATTTCCAGAGATGTTTTGAACAATGAAAACGCAGAAAGGAAAGAACCTTCCTCCCTTCCGGTTTTTCACCACAATGTAGGATTGAGTTAGATTAGTTAGAACGAATCATGCAAATTTCAGATGAAGTCTGACTTTTGGGGGACTTCCAGAGATATTTGAATGATGAAAACGCAGATGAGACAAGCACACTACTACAACTGTGTCGTATTCTGAAGGCAGTAAGAGTAAAATATAAGAACCTTTATGATTGGAACGTACACCTGCGTGCCCTTCCTTTTCGCAGAACTTCGACATAATTAAATCACAAACAAACAACAAAAACAAATATCAGTAACGAGTGCTGTAGCAGTAGGTGGTTCAACTAATCGTTAAAAGAACGATTTGCGGTCACTGGAGACCTGGAGTGTATTAGCTATAAACTTACGAAAAGGAAGAAGAAGATCAAGAAAATTCTTCTTCTGGAAACTTGGGTTGAAACGATGATGGAGAACTTCTCGTCCATTTGTTACCTATTCAATTAAGAATGTTAGCCGGTGGACATGTTAAATGAATCATTTCGTGTGTCTAATAGAAAATAATGGAGACCGCTTGTATGTGTGTGTGCTTCGATCCAGGGTCAGAGCTATCGACTCCGCTATCAATTTTCCGAACCATTCGCACTAAATTATCCTCGCTTTTCACGAACTTTTTGCGTCTCATCTTTCTTTCACAATTGTAGCAGTTTTATCTACAAGGCCCATTGTCTTTCTGTTCCCCTACCAACCATTTAGGTATACTACATCCATTCAAATAGAACGACTTCCAAATGATAAATACTGACACGTTCCAGGCTTCCGGAATATATATCGTTCCAATATTTTTGTTAGATAAAACGAAAGTGTCGCGGGATAATCTTTTTCCAACTGTTCATGCATTGATATATTTATGACGATTCCAGTGTGTTATTTATTATGCATGAGGACGAAGGTTCTGGTCCTTTTTCCATTTCGTCTTTCCCTTTTCTTAAGATATCTACGTTTTCAAGGGGACATGTAATCAAAAGTTCTCGGCAGTCGCTGGATTGGAAAACTGTACCGATCACGTCCTTTAAATACATCCCGATAATTTACGATCCAATGACAAAGTGCACGAGACATATTCCACGGAATAAATTTCCCTGTGACGTTCTATAAAAATCGAAAACCTTCACGTCAGTTTGATAACGAATCTGCATACTGAAAAAGTCGGGAAATTCTTTTTGTTCAATTTATTCTTAAAAGAGGAATTGATTATCTGGAAAATTGTTTTTGAGTTTTCTCATAGATAACCTCAAATCTGTCCAACAATATAAAATACAGATGTAGGGCACAGATTGAATATACTTGCGATTTCAGAGTCCTAGTGTACATTTTAGAAAATACTACAAATGGCGCAGTAAACGCCATCTGTAGCACGATGCTACATTTTAGAATTACGTATGCTCCAACAAGGTCCACTTGTGTGGATATCTACTTGCTGCCTGCGACGCGCTGATGAGATCCAAAAAGATCGAAATCGCGATTCGCGTCTGGCAGTTTCGACAGAATACAGACCACTTCGAATTATTTTAAAGTGTACATTGTTTTGATCTATTGATTGATTTGAATCGTTGTCGTCGTCTTGTAAGGGTAAATGTTGCAATTATTAAGGTGGAGACATCCACGTCTCGCTTCATGTCTAATAAATTCCACGACCAGTAATTCCGGTCTCACGATAAATTAGGGATTGCATTCCATCCCGAACATTTAAATTTAAGCCGAGAAGATTAATAGAAGGGTGCCGGCGGTACAAGTTGCTTTTTTTAAGTTGTGGGGGTTGTTATGCCTCGACGTCCCGCCTGTCATCTTTAGTTAAAGAGTTAAAATTCTGACGTTGACTAATTTCGTTCCTTTATTATAATTTGCCGAAATAAAGGAGGAGGGAGAAAGAGAGAGCACTTTCGGCTTTATAAGACATGCTAGAAATTAATTAGCCCCAAACGTCTACATCGACGTGACGTTTATTGTTTCAGGGTTTTGCAACAATTTGTTTCACTTTACCGAACACTTTACATGGCGAACCTTACGCTGCCCTCAACGGCAACATAAAATAATTTACTTTCACAATATTTTTTACTTCTTTGCTCGCGGAGGGTTAATGTGGTAATTCTAAAA